TTTGGGGTCTTCGCTGGTGTAATTTGCTGGATCATCCCATGCAACAAAATGTCCAACGTGCGCGGCCCAGCCAGACATGCTGCTACGCCGAAGTGCTGCCAGAACGTGCGCTATGTGGACGTGCACAGACGGCTATGCGCAAAATGCAGCATATGCAAGGAATGTGCCTCGTCTTGGAAGCTTTATTCTTATGGCTGACAGCCGCACCGCATCGTGCCTGCAGAGGTCTACCAGAGCAACGACATGTGCTGCGACGAGACCTGTGTGCACGTGGATTGCGACAAGGGATACAAGAACAGGGGGTCCTCGGTGCATGCCACATCGCGAGATGCGTGCTGTGCCGCTTGCCCCAATTGGAGCAGAAGTTCCAAACCAACGCACAGTACGAGCTTGCTTCGAACATGACATCACACTCCCCTGCGCTATGCAAAGGAGGTGACCTGCGAGCTGTTCAGCTGCCCTGGAAACTGGAGCCAAAAGCCAGGACCTGTCAGGCAGAAATTTGTTGATGGCAGTGTGCAGGATATGCACCCACTGAGATTGGACTTGCTAGGGTTGGCAACGATTTGGAGACGTGTTGCGCACCTCATTGCGCTCTATTCGACTGTGAAGCACGTCGCTTGTCCAAAGCTTGGGGTATATATCTTGGTCACGCTTTGCGTGCTTGTGATCCCAGCTGTGCCCCTTCTGTTGTTAAGTTGGCTGGGAAGCTGATCCGGGGGCTTCTGGTCGCATCGGCGGCAGCAAGACGGAGTGCTGCAAGAAGGCCGTCTTTTTCGTGTCTTGCGTAGTTGCCAGTGTCGTAAGTTCCTGCAATGAGCAATGTTTCGTCCCGAGACATGCTCATCGTGGTCGTGCCCGACTGGATACGCAGTTCCTAAGAGCATGCGACACTTGGATTCGCCCAGTGATTCAAAATGCTGTCGGCAGACGTATTGCTCCGCATTCAAATGTTTCTTGGCCTGCACGATCAAGCTCTGAAAAATGGAAGGCCTTCAGGGCAATTGCCGATTGCATTCGGAGGATGGGCCTCCCGAAGCTGTGTTTCACATGGCTTTTCGAGGAACCCATGACCACGATTGCATAGCATGGCGAGCCTCTAAAGGAGTTGGCTTGCCGGCGAGGTACTGTATGAACTTAACATTTCCGGATCCCGTGTTGTCGTAGGCATTTGCCTTAATACTGTCCGTCAATATGAGGCTCGAAGATGAGCCATGAGAGACCGACAGTGAGTCGCTAGAAAATTGAAACGGTGCAGGTTTAGGACCCTTCAATACCTGCACCGCACAAGCATGCGCAGGGGCGGGCGAGAGGGCGAATCAGCAGTGCAATTCCACAGCGGAAAATCTGACAGGGAAATTGAGGCTAGGCCCCTTCTTCGGGAACCCATAGCAGAAGAGATATTCGTCCAGACTTTGTGCTTTCACTTTTAAAAGCTTGGGGCCGAGCAAGACCGCGCAAGGGCGAGAAGCAAGAGGAATCTCGAGTTAAGGGTTGCAGCAATAATGCAGAACGACCCCCGGATAAAGGTGCTTCAATGGTCAAGAGAAGATCTGCTAGGCAGTCCCCATGCTTGTTTACATGTGCTTGGTGGCGGGTGCGTGAAAGCAATCTAAGGTGACGCGGGTTGGAATCGCAATGAATCTGCCAAAGATCAAGTCGGCCATTCGAACGAAGAGTGCTGCATCGCTACCTGTGCTGTTTACACATGCGATGCCTCTGCTGGCTGGGCAAATTCGCCCGCAAAGAAAAACGTCGTTGGGGATAGCCCCTTACTCTGCTGTGAACCGGCTTGCAGCAATCACACCTGCAGCAAGAAGTGGGTGCCGAACAAGCTTGTTTGGGACAAGCCTGGCCAAACGGATGATGTTTGCTGCATGAAGTCTTGCGAGCTTCATGATTGCAATGCATCCCTCGGGTGGAAGACAAATGGCCAAGCAGCGTCACAGCCTGCAGACAGCGATGCGACGTGCTGCCTGCCAACTTGCAGAAGATACTCTTGCAGTCATGGATGGGTCGCGAACCCAAAAGCTTCTGACAAGGCGCGAGTGTGCAAGGGATTTATGAACGAGGCTAGACTGCTAGACATGCAAGTTGCCATAGCTTCTACACGCAACTTGTCGGCAGCTCTGCCAGCCAGGAGGGTGGCAGCGATGAAGAGTGTTGTTTGAAGACCTGTCGGGCGTACTCCTGCGATGCTTCACTGGGATGGCTGCAGGAGAGATGATGATGCCGGGAGTCAGTACAGTCAGGGATGTCATGATAGGAAGCACGCACAGGTAGGGCAGTCACGCACAATGGACTGGCATGGAATTCGCGCAGTTTCAAGCTGCACACCGAAAACGTAGACCTTCGCAGAAGTTTGCAGATGTTTCAGGTGCTGTGAATTTTGCTGTAATGTCGCGGCCCTTTTAATAGACAGTCCCCCCACCCCCCCAAAACCGCGCGGCTTGAATAATATGAAGGTTCGGTACATTGGGGCTTTGACTAAGTGACTAAGTTAGAAGGGAATAGGGGGATTTTAGGGGTTTCTGGGCTGGCTTGGGGTCTGGGTGGCTTTGACTAAGCTAGAATGGAGTTTGGAGGGGGGTCGAGGCTTTAGGGTTTGGAGGGGGGAAGGGGGGGTTTTAAGGCTTCAGGGGTCGGGGGGTCTAAGGGGGTGGGGTTTAAGGCTTTAGGGCTCGGGGGGTCCAAGGTTCCGGCTTCATAAAGGGAGGTTGAGATGTGATGAGGCTCAAGCGTCAATTAGGGGTTGAGGCTTAAGGGTTGTTTTAGCCTTTAGGGCAAGAGGGCCGGGGCTTCAGGGTTGGGGGGGCGGCTTTTAGGTCGTGGCTGCTTTAAGATTGACCATTACTAGAAGGGAAAAACCATAACCGAAAAAAATAGGGCCAAAAAACGCATTAATTAGACCGGCAATGTTTTGGTCCCGGCTTGAATTAGCAACAAAACGCATTGCAGAGCCACGTCGAATTAAAAGGGGCCGGCACAGTATGTACGTCCTTGTGTGTGTCTCGTGCGTGACTGCTGTTGCGGTTTGATTTGTATGTATATGTATGTGTATATACACATACATATGTACATGCATATATATATATATGTATATACATATATATATATATAGATATGTATACATACATACGTACGTATGTATGTACATACATACATACATACACATATGTATATGTATATATACACATATAAAAAGAGTGTCTTCGAGTCCACTTTGGCAGGATCCAGTGTCGCTGGACAAGGTGGGTGAGGATGTGTCGACTTGCTGTAAGCCAGCGTGCAGTCAGCACAAATGCAGCTCAGGCAGGATGGTCTGATGGACAAAGCCATTGAGTGTGCATTGGGGTTGCAGTTTTGTTTTCCACAAGCACTGCGGTAACACTCTAGGGCTTAAGGTGAAAGTAAAGATGTGGTTCTTGCGCAGCGATTTCCACAGTCCCGCCGCATCCCTGTCTTACGAGGACGCCCAACTCACTGTACGGGTAAATTCCAATACTCTGGCGCTGTCCAACTTAAATGGATCGCGCTCCCGCCGCAATGCCGTGCGTATTTTGGGTGCTTTTTGTTCGACTCGTGCTCCCGCCACAGTCCCTTGTCCATTTTCAATCGAATCGCTCGAAGTGGTTGGAGTTCTCACAAGGCCACTTTATCTAGCTCCTTGGAAATTCCGCCAGCAAAAGGGGTTCGAAACTCGAAATCGTGCTGCCGCCGTGGTGCCGTGTGCATTTTGCGGTACGTGTTGCCTTCCCGCCACAGTCCCCTGTGTGTCCACCTCCTGAAATCTTGCTCTCGCCGCAACTTTCGCTGCCACTCCTGTTTGCGCCTCCGAGAATTTTGCACTTGCCGCCACAATCCTGAGGCATCACTTTTCTACTTTTAGCATCGCCCGAGACCTCCGAACATGAAAAGGTTCGAGAACGGCTGAGACAAGTTTGGTATCTGTGCTTTTGCTGAAGGACTTGATCCCTTCTGAGATGGGCTTGCTGCTTGTCCTTGTGGCGAATGTCGTTCTACTTGGTAGCTGAGTTGTCATCGAACAGATAGCTCCAGTGGCCACCCAACATGTTTCATGCAGCTCATGCAACTAAACAGCTAGGTTGCCTTAATCCGTATTTGGCTCTGAGATTATTGCACCTTCTTGAGCAGGCTGGGTGGCGAACGCGGCCAAGAGAAACACTGCCGGCGACACTGACGAAGAATGCTGCTTGAAGTCATGCCTTTTGCACTCCTGCAGCGGTGTACCTCGGCGAGAGCAGAGCTGAACAGCACAAATCACATACCATTCTGTTTTGATGAGATGCACGGGCTTTTGACATGTAGGAGCACTTGTGTTTTTTTGGGCGGTGCTCTCTGCAAATCATGGGCAACTTCTGAAACACGGTGTCAGTTCGATGTGCTTAAGCATGCGCACACCGTCAATGAGCATTAGTTGTGGCTCCGTCGTTCATGCAGTACCTGCTTCCACTTGGGTCGCATGGCACGGGCAGCAAGTGACAGTGTTATCACATGGTGAAAGCAAGCATGCGTCCTTGCCAGAACGATGCGATCCTGGTCAAGAAGCTGGGCATTGACGATGCCCCCGGCGAGACGGACAAAGCTTGCTGCGAGCCGGCAGACTGCCAGGAATGGCCACGCAAACTCGCGCAAGCAGAGAAAGGATGTGAAAAGGTTCCCATCACACAGGAGTGCACGAGCCTTAGTGTTGAGCCATCGGCCAGCGGACTGGCATTGCCACATCCTTTGCTCCCTTTTGTTTTAATTCGCAGCAGGTAATGGAATGTACGAGAAGTCCAAGCCGGCAGATGACGGATCCACGACGTTTTCTCGCTGTGGCTATCAATACGTCGGAGGCCAGGTGTTTCGTTGCGGTTCCCTGGATGCCTCCAAGTTGGTTTGTGGCCGTTAAGTTTCGTGCAAGCTGGAGAACGGAGTGGAAAAGTTAAAGGGCAGTTTATGCACCTTCGTGCTGCAAGGGCTCTCAGAGTGTCGGTAACTCTTGGCGTCGATTGCTGCACCACTCTTGGAAGAGTTGCTGCCATCGAGACTGTCTTTGGCTCGAGCAATGCACAGAGTTCACCACCAGTTGTCCATCCCTGCGAGCAGTTGAGCCTGCATCGAACGCTGCACCCTGAGGTCTGATAAATCCCTCAGGCATACTAGCCATTCGGGAAGCGCTGATGGGTCAGAAAATCGCCAAGGCTGCTTTCGGTCCTTGTCGTCATGGGACAAGGTCTGCCGAAGGCAGTGACCTCCATAGCGTTGGAACGCGATGTTCGGCCCTTAGGGTGTGTCGCTGGCGTTCGCAAAAAATTCAATGCATGCAAGTCGTGGAGCCTCAGGCTGGGCCTCTCTTCGAGGTGGGTGTCGCTGAGATGAACGGCTGGAGGCCCACAATGGAGGACACTCGCAGAGCCGCGCACAAGAACAGCTTTCCACAGAGACGCGAGAGCGAGAGATAAGAGCAAGCCCAGCCAGTCCGGTGTCTTTCTTGCTGTGTTAGACAAAATATAGAGCTGCCGTGCCTTCCGCAAGGGCTACCGTGCTAACTAGGCTAAGCCGTCCAGCAAAACTCGCGCAAAAACTCGACCAGAGAGAGCAAGTGCCTGAAGAATCCCAACCGTGCCGTACACCGCTAGCGTGACATTGGAGAGAGGGACCAGTGCCCGGCAAGGGGGCGGGGGTGTTGGGGGGAAGCTGAAAATTGGGTCTCTGCTGAAAGCGAGACAGGAGTGGCTCCGACGCCAGCAATCGCCAGCACATACAGCCCTGAGCAAGAGAGCTGAAATCGAGGGAGGCTACTCGCTGCGTATGATTATTGCAGGATGCACACGTGTCCGTGATGTACCTTGGCTTATTATGGGACGCGTTCATCTGCTAGCGCTCAAGCTCTGAAGCAGTCAAGCGTGGCTTCCGTCTGTAATATTCTGAGCCAGCAAAGGCAGGATTCGTGGGGCGACTTGGCATGCTGAAGAGATTTGATTGAGAGACAAGGAGCCAGAGAGGCAGTGTCGTACGTTGTTCTCTAGGTTTATACTGTGAACTGGAAGTCTGAACCGGGCAATGTTTTTAAGAGCAGACACTCGGGGGAAAAAAAAGGCAAGCGTTACCTTTCAAGGCAGTTTATTAACCCCTATCTGTCGGATCTATTTTCATACTTCGCATACTCAGTACTGTCGACAGGGACAGTCGATGCGTTCTAATCAACGTCTAACTGGGGATTCACTTTAGCTAAAGTCAGTGCGGTTGGCGTCCACGCGGCGTTTCGATGTCTACTCAGTCTACTCCCGTACCCCCTGGTCGCTCCCACTCTGCTCGGATAGTCACTGGGGGAACGATTCCAGAGAAGTCGCGCCCGCAAGCGTTTACGTGGGGGATGTCGTGATGCGCTAAATCTTTGATGGGATTTGCTTTCGTTCACAGGGTTTTTCGAGCATGATGACGCTACGGCGACAGAGCTACAATATAAGTCGCATCATGTATTTTGGATCCCACCCCACACTGGGGGGAAGCACCATCACCGAGCGATACCGAGCGTTTAGTTGGGGATTCGCGATCACGTTGATTCGGGATTGAGGTCTGATTGCAGAAGCTGAATTTACAGCAGTTTAAATATGGAGATCGTGGGTTTTGATTGCTGTTTGATGTGATGTCGCGTCTGAAAATCGGGCGTCTACAGAGGAATGGCTGGCTTGGTTGTGCTGTGATGCCACTGGTGTTGGCCTTGGGGCTTGAGAGGCTCCATTTGTAAGGACATAGGTCACATATGAGGGGTCCGCTTACGCGGAGCTTACGCGGAGCTTAGGCGCGTGCACCATCATATAACATATAACATAATTTTGAAGCGGCGGCAGGACTAGTAGTAGTAGTAGTAGTAGTAGCAGCAGCAGCAGCAGTAGTAGTAGTAGCAGTAGTAGTAGTAGCAGCAGCACACAGTAGTGCTGGAACTAGCCGCCTATTCACGACAACGACTCTCTTTG